CTCAGCTACGATCCAGGAGACAAGGGTGGGCAGATCGATGCAGATATCGATCAGGACGTTGGTAGTGGTATTTGATCGATACTTTAGTTTGTTTCTCTCCTCTAAGTTCACTACTTTACTCCCGTTTCATGACAAAGCAGCTCTCTCTGCTCGACTCCTCTCCTGCGCACGCACACACACACTTTGCTCCGCCCCCTTTTTCCTGCTCATCTGTGGTTTGTTGCTGTGTGGTCACGCGACACAGCTGCGTAGCGTAACCACGTGGAGTTTTTTTTTTTTTTTTTTTTTCTGACATTCAGCTGACAAATATGCAGCAGAATGTTAGTCTAGCAGCAAAGAAAATATCACTAAGTAAAGATGGTGCTAACCAGGAACTGATAGAAAAACTTGGTGTGTTAACGTGAGTCTAAAATTGTACAAAGCCTTGAAGTTTTTTTTTTTTTTTTTTTTTTCAAAAGTACCGCCTATCTCCTTTTGCTAACCTCTTTTCCTTATGCCGGCTTACACTGTGCGATTTTTTCAGTCACGTTATTCAGCTCCTGCTCAAACTGCACGACTGACTCGCAGGGGTTAGATGTTCGTAAGTCACGATGCAGGTCTCACACTATACGGCCCGATGCTCTGATGCGACCTGAGTGCTCACACTGTGCGTCCATGAAATGAAGGTTAGAACCAGGGGCGATCCTAGGATTAGAGCTTTGGGGGTGCTGAGCACCCAGAGAGCTGCCCAGCCAGGCAAAATAAACTTTACACGTCACGATGAGACTTCTTCCCTGTCTCTGTCAGTCCCTGCATCCTTAAATGTCTCCAGTTCCCGAGTTCTCTGTGACTGTCTCCTTGGTGCATTTAAACCCCTGTTCCTCCCTGTCCTCGTCGTCTGTTGTCTTCTTCTCCATTATGAGTCATCATAATTTTATCCTCTCTGTGCAAGTCTGCAAATTTCTTTATTAAATCATAAGATTCTTAAATTCATCAAGTCTCTCTGTGCCTGGGTCCTCGTCACAAAACATGACATCACTGTTTTGTACATTTTAACACAATTTAATCCCCACATTTGTGAAAGAATAACACTTTTTTGGAAAGTCTGTAACAAAACCATCAAATCTGATAAAGGTTATTTAAATGCTGCAAAAGAAGAATGGATTGGAACAAAAAATATATATATCCTAACCTTAATTACTGCGGGAGAATAATGAATGATACTCATAGTGAGTAAAAAGCAAACTGATTACATTTTTTGGACAGATTCACTTTTAATGTGTGTGTATAATATAATACAGATACATAAAAAACACTCCCAAAACAGAATAAATTATTACAAATAATTATTACATACTTTTGCAAGCCAAACGATTCATTCATTTATGAAATTTTGCAAGGACAATATGTATAATGCTTACCGTTTATTAAAGATCAGTATCCTGAAATGCAAAGAATTCAATTGCTGGATCGGCGGACAGAGGCGGTTTTTCGCAAGTTAAGTAGATTTTTTTAAGGCGGTTTATCCCGAAGTCGCAAAAGTATGATGTCACAACAATGTGTTTGGTCACTTGCAATGTTGAACCTGGAACAAGATTTATTATGATGATGTGGGAACACCGACACGAGGATATCAGATAGTGCCGATGAAAACGTCATCGTGGGAAGGAGAATTGCTAAGGACTCAGGAAAAGAGAAGAGCGGTGCTGAGAGTTGGAACAGCCTCACACTCGTCCCTCTGTAACAATGTTACACCCGGGTGGGATTCTTATGGAGGACCACAAGAATCACACACATAGAAATAAAGAATTCTCGCTTAAATAATGATTTGTGCAATAAAATATGAATTTGTAAATTCATCCACAATGTAAAGCTTGAAATTAGAACCAGCACTGAGCCCTGTAACATTTATACACAGTGTATGAGCAATTGCTGCAACCTACAGCCTTTAAACTTATAATTAAAATGCTGACAGTAAACTCATCAGTAGAGGTGGGCAGGGGCGGTCCTAGCCTGTTTGGTACCCTGAGCAAACACTCCCTCTTTTTACTTTGACTTCAGAAAAGCAGCAAGCAGCCACACCGAGGGCTCTCGCGCTCACTTTTCGTGTATAGAATTTAGAAAAAACATCGCTGCAAATTCTAAGTCTGTGTTATAATGTCTGGTCTTTTCGTGTTTGTTGGATTGTTTTTATTTTGTTTTATTTTGCGAGTTGGATATTAGGTGCTGCTCCAACCAGCCAGAGAATCCCCCCCTGCCCCTCTCCTCCCTATGTTTGGCAAGCAGCAGGGGCACCTCGCAAATGGAAGGTGCCTTTACTCCCAGCAAATGGGCGATAGAAAACCGATCGGTGCCTATGCCATCGGGGCGATCGTGCCTCAAAGACTTGGCAGTTTGTTTTGTGACCGGAAGGTTGCCGGTTCGAGCCCCGGCTCGGACAGTCTCGGTCGTTGTGTCCTTGGGCAAGACACTTCAACTACCGCCTACTGGTGATGGCCAGAGGGGCCGATGGCGCGATATGGCAGCCTCGCTTCTGTCAGTCTACCCCAGGGCAGCTGTGGCTACAACTGTAGCTGCCTCCACCAGTGTGTGAATGTGAGAGTGAATGAATAGTGGAATTGTAAAGCGCTTTGAGGGCCCCGAAAAGTGCTATATAAATGCAATCCATTATTATTATTATCCCAAAAATACGTTGGCAGTATGTCAGGGCAGCATGAGTACGAGAAACTTTTTTCTTATTTATTTATTTTTTTCCTTTTATTCCCCAAAAAACAAAAAACAAAAACAACTACCAGAACCACAACAAAGGAAAAACAAAAAAACCCAGAACAAAAATAACATAATAAGCAGTCTGAGACATGTAAACAGAAAACTAATACAGTATGGTAAATAATTTGGTCTACCACGCATTTACACATTTGTCCTGACAAACCCAACCCGCCATTGGAGTGGGCCTGCCCCTCTCACTATGATTGTCTTCAGATCATCAGGTAAGTAATCCATTAGAGGGCACCACATATCCAAAAAAATATCATCATTGCCACTTAATTTTGCCTTCAGTCTTTCCATTGGTAAAGCTCTAAAGATTTATTTATACCACTGAG